TGTTAAAGATAAATATTGTTTTGTCTTAATAGTTGAGCATGTAAGAGAAAAATTATCTAAAGCTTTTTGTTTCAAAAAATAATAATTCCCAAAGGATGGAATAATAATAATGATAATAATGATAATAATAATAATAATAATAGTAATAATAATAATAATAATAATAATAATAATAATAATAATAATAATAATAATAATAATAATAATAATAATAATAATAATAATAATAAAAGTAGATGCACAAGTCCGCTTCATATTCAACGAAAATGAAACTGACAGAGACTTGAGATGGAGAGTTCAAATGTCAATTGAATATTAATTGTACAGAAGGAATGAAAATGAAACAAAAACTGCCTTCAAGAAAGAAGAATTTTGAGTTGAGTATGGTCAATTTTGAAAAAAAAAAAATAAAAAATTGTATAGTTAGTTCTCTGTAAAATTTTGAGTTTATATTAAAATAATTTTAAAATAAAATAATTACAGTTGATTTGATGTAATCATTATAATTACAGTTGATTTGATTTTGATGTAAAATAATGATTAGTTAAAATTAATTTTGAGTTTATATTAATATAACATTTAAAATAAAATAATTACCGTTGATTTAATGTAATCATTATAATTACAGTTGATTTGATATAAAATAATGATTAGTTAAATTATGTGAGTGAATATGTGTAATAATGATTGAGTGGTATTATTTAATTATATTGATAATATTGAAAGATAATTGAATTAAGTTAAAATTTGAATCAGATTTAAGTTTAAAAAAAAAAAATGATTGATTAAAAATGACTAATTTATTTTTTTTAGAAAAAAATTGAATTGCAAAGGATTTGGTCCCCAACTTAGGTTCATATTTATAGGCATGTTTTATCGTTTTTTCATTTATTTAATAATTATTATCATGTACATTCAAAACATTTTCTTTCCTTGTTTTTTTTTTTTTTTATTAATATTCAATTATTGGTAATGTGATAGAATGCCAATACTAGTACAACACCCGTGTATTACACGGGTGCTTGCTAATTTTTTTTTTTTAAATCTAAAATTAATAATAAAAAGTAGTTGAAAATTTAAATATCTTTTACAAATATATATATATATATATATATTATTGTATATTTAGTATGACACTTTTTATTTGTGCTACTTACTTGTGTTAGATTATAATAATTTTTTAACTTACTGTTGACATAAGAATCATCTCGCACGTAGGATGAACGACACGTGGACAGAGGAGAGAGCCATGAGTCGCGTTTAAAAGAGGAAAGACAGAGTTCCCCAAGCTGGAGAAACCGACCTCTCTAAAGGTGCCGACCTCCTCAGTAAGCCGACTCAAATGGGAACGACGTCCCTAAAGGCTGACGTCGGTGCCGACAGGCTGCATTTAATGCATGTCTATCAAATGTCTCAAACCACGTGAGAACATCATTGTTGCGGGACCCACTTGCAGAGAAAGCCTGACCTATTTTGTCACACCGCATTAAATGCCGTCGTTTCTCATAAATAGACGATCCCTCAGTTACTATAAATAGCAGCATTAAACTCGATACGAGGATCTTTTTCCGACACATTAAACTCTGTATTTATCACCTCGGCTCAAGCGTACAATAGACTACTTGAAACGCAAAAAACCGACTTGTAGACAAAAATACCGACTTGTGTCAGTTAGCAAGAATTACGTATTACATCAATAAAACAACCCCAATCCCATCTTAATCTCCGAGATTTGATATTAATTTAGTTGATCAAATCCATTTATCAACACTTACAACATATACCTACATTAAAAATAAATATATCAATTGATAAATAATTTTATTTTTTAATGAATTTTAATAAATATTAATATTTTTTATTATTATAAAGATAAATATAATTTATTTATTTCATATATACAATATGGATGTCAAATCGAAGATCATCAAAAGATAATTAATTTGATATATAATATATGTAAAACCGGTAAGAAATACAAAAGTTATCAACTTTTAAAATACATTTACAATTCAATAGCTAATTGAAGGAAACAAATCAAAGTCAAAGATATATTAGTCACTTAGTGACTCAATATATAAAATTACACATAATTAAAGAGTTATATTAGTACAAGTGATATTAAAATACCTAAGTTAGATAAATAATATTTATGAAATGTCCGAACCTAGATTATTAATTATTAATATATCAATATTATTTGTCCAAATCTAATTACGAAGCATGATTCTTCGCCAAGTAGGATTCCGAAGCACCAGAAGCAGCCACGTAGGCTCAGCGCATTCGGAAATTATATATAGGGAGGATTTCTTAGCCACATATGACATTTCATAGGTCAAACTCATCATATACTTTTAACAAAATTGTATACTTATGCTATGAAACATTTCTCTCTTATTTATGTTGTTTTTTTAAAATGCGCAGCATTTCAGTTTGCAAGTATGCATAAACAATGAAAAGATGTATAGATAATCTCTTTTACACTTTTGACCTGCTCAATCTCTTTCAAATTCGAACACTTGATCAGGTCCAGAATTTAATACAGCTTATACGGTTTATCCGTATTTCATCACAAAATCAAACTTTTGCTCCACAAGTCCTACACTTAGGCCGATGTTTAATCCTCGTCAAGCAGCATATATACCCTTTGCTGTAAGACCAGAAACTGTAAAATGTTGCAGTTTTCGAAAAGAACCAAGTGAAAGCTTGTCAACAAAACTGGTTTATATCTGCCTTTGTCTTAATCTGCATACAACCCATACTTAAATCAGACCTGCAATATGCTGAAACCATTGTGTATGGGACCACTAATTTAGATTCCATTATTTTCTAAACTATTTTATATATATATTTTTTTTAAATGAGATACACATAATCTTCACTCACGATTGCTACAATCATGGTAATAGTTATGGTTGTGTAAATATGCGAAAAAATGGTACATATCGACGTACCAATGCTTTTCACAACTCACGTAGTTCTCCACTTTGCACCAGTGTTCACGAGTTTAGTATACACGTTCTTAAAATCTTCGAAGAAAAGATCCTGATCATTAGCATACTTTGAGATCCACCTGACCATGTAAAACAAGATGGACCGAGCTGTGCTTAAATTATCCCAGAAGGATTGAGTTGTAACTAAATTACCATTTGTTGAATAGAATAACCAAATTCCCGCTGATAAATCTATAAATATCCGTACCATTCTAATATATGCCACATTTTCTCGTTCTATCACCGATTTTCTATTGCAACAGCATATCCAGGCTATATATAACCCCCAAATGTAAATCGGCAGTAAAATGGCTGTTAGAAAACCGCATACCTGATGCATTCTTCATCTTCAACAAGTGCACGGTCGGAAGGAAGGCCGATCATACTAGACATCCCACCTAAATGTACGAGAAAATTAAATGATTTCTTAGAAAAAATAATGATTATTAACTTAAGGGCTGAAGAAATTCAGAATTCTACGAAAAAAAAAAAAAAAACTACTGACTAGTCCACGAGAATCTTATTCTGCTAAAAATGGTGAAGTACCTGAAGAAGACCATGGCTTCTCTAGAAGAATCTTATAGTAAGAATTGTCGAAGACAACTGGGTTTCCAAAACCTTTGCTTCCAAGAGTATGAGCTCCAGATAAAGCAACAAGTTCCTGGGTTCTGTAGATGAGTTCCGTTAGTGTTAATTTGAAAGGAAAGACGAACGGCAGTAGCGTGCAAAATCACATATAACGTTACTTAAGAGTAATACTTGAGCAAACAAATGTAACCCACAGTATGCCAACATTGGAATTTCAATTAACTAAGCAACGTGTTTGATTTTCATTTACGTGGTTAGACACTGATCAGAAACGTAGAGCAGCAGAAAGTTGAAGAAAATACATAAGTGAACTAATCAACCTCAAACACCTAACTGCACTAACATAACAGGCAAGAAATATAATATACACATCCACCCACACAAGCAATAAGCATACATATGAAACTAAATTACTAAACACATCCCAAGATTTAGAAAAGATATAGATTAGATGCCTTGAAAAGTGAAGATTTAGGAGAATCTTTCGAGTCAGATATCAATTACTCACGAGAAGCCTTTCTTTAGAAAGCATTGCTTCATGGCAGCCGCATTTAGTGATTCTTCTGGAAGCTTCCCATCAGGATCAGGCACCCTGAGTGGGAGGGGGGGGGGGGGTTAAAAATAATTGAAAACATCATATGCTTATGCTACATATGAGAGTACATAAGGTTTGAGCTTTTTACGTTGCATCAATTCTTCCCAGTTGAACAGGAATCTTCGGACCTCCACACACGGACACAGCCTCGGCCCCACCCACGGCTATCAAATCCGCCCAGGATACTATCAATCCCAAACAAAAAAGAGATTAGATTATTTGAATTTGCTGCTAAAGCTAGAAAATCCTCACACTTTACCCTGCCGAAAAGTAAAAATTACCTGGTTGTACTGCTTCCACTTGAGCTTTTGCTTTAGCAAGTACCTAATACCAAGGCAAGCATTAAACACTAAAGAGTAAAAAGCAAGAGTATAGGTTAATAAAGATGTAGGATTTGATCATGCCTTCAGTGACTTCTCGAGACCCATGTTTTCGGGTCTGTCAAGCTCATAAACTATCGAACCATTCATACCACCTGAACCAAAGAACCAGACATATAAAATTGCTTGCTTGCATATACGAACCATGGAGGGAGGAATTACACGGGCACTATAAAACATAATCATTAGTATTCTCCTTTTGTTATCAAATACTTTTCTTTTATATAACAATTTTAAAAGTCGTGAGTCCTCATCAAGATACCTGTTTTATCACCCTCATCAAAAGTTCCGGCGTCATGAAATACTAGACGAAGTAAACCGGCAGCCTTGCCTTTGGACAAAACCTTCCCAATCTCATCTTGTAACAGAATAATCTCACTGGAGGATAATTTCACAAATTATAAATGCTGGCACGTCGAAACAATTGGCATTTCAAAGTTTCACTCTTCAGGTACGTGCCCAAGATAGATAGCAGAAGACATCAATTAATACTCATCATATAACTAAGAAAAATGCGAAGAATCTCCAAAGCACTAATAAAGTTCCTGCATTTCTCTCTCCTTTTTTTTATTTATTATTAATGTTCTATTATTTACATATATAAATAAACAGATATTTTTTTTCCTCTGTGTGTAAAGCCCTCAAATAATGTGCTAACACACCCTCACAAGCTATTAAACTGTTTTGGTAAATATTCACAAGCTGAACTACTGAAAAAAAAAAAAAAAATCGCAGACATGATTTAACAAATAGCAGTGTTGTGAAAAGATGACAATATGACATGCGAATTAAAAACGAGAAAGTAAACAACACGAGATTTACACATGATCTACGCTCGGCATCAGTCTGCCTCCTTCTTTTGTCAATATATAAGCCATACCAACAAGCAGCAACACTCAGCTTTAAGCTACAGCTAGGCTACACATAGTCACAGATTAACTGAACAACCGAAATTCTTAAGCCTTACTTAATAGGCGAGGACAAGCTGGGGGAAGTCATGAGGAATGACGCCGTCGCCATATACAGCAGCCCTCGCCTCCCGAATGTAGAGGCAGAATTTGAAGGAGAAGCAGCCGCACAGGCTATGGAGAGCCTTTTCCGGACGGATTTGACGGGAGGTAAGGTTCGGGCAGGAATACTGAGCGCGCTGCCGGCGGCGAAGGAGGTGGCAGGGCCGAATAGCGACGGATCGACGGGGGCGACGGTGCTCCTCATCCTCAGTCAGCTGGGGAAAGATACTTTTGTTGAGTTTACATTGGTTGGTTGATTGGATATTAAATTTGTACGAGTTTGTTGAATTATTTTGGGGTAGTTGAGCCTTTAATGAAATGAAAACAACCTAACCTTTTTAAAACCCCGGTTGCCGTTCAACATGACTCACCAATAAAAACAACCTTAATACAGGTCCTTTCGGAAGAAGTTAAACCGTGGCTGGAACACGATATTCTTAGTGTTTCCCACTCACAGAACGTAGTAATTTGATTTCCTTTAACCTTAATAAATTGGAGATATATCATTTTGGTTGTTTTGCGTCAATTTGTCAATTTGATCTATGACGAGGTTGTAAAAGGTAATGCGTAGACAAGAAGTTCAACCAAAATCAGTGGGAGCATATGGAGATGGAGGCACGGTTGGATGAACGGCTTCCCGATTTTTCTATGTATGAGACGTCTTAATTGTCGAGCAGGATGGGTCGATTTAAAGTGAAACGACGAAGGTTTCACGATATGTTGCTGGCCGAAACCAGTCTTGGATGGGCTAATGCACGCGGAATGATCACTGGATGGGAAGATGTATGGCAACGGCGGACTTGAGTAACGACTTACCCTTTTTTTTTATGAAAATAATGAATCGCAAACGTTCAAATTTAATTAATGAAATTCGTTCATGCTTTGAACATTACTAACAACATTATTTTGTTTGTAATTTTTTAAGGCACACCCTCGCGATTCTGATATGCGGCGGAAGAAGCGTATTTTTTTAGGAACTAACCACCATCTTCTCCGGCATGACGACAACCTGTGCCTGGGCTCGAGCGTGCACCCAAAGAACATTGGATTGCAAGTCAACATGGCCGGGGCAACGTTCACCTCGACATACTGAAAAAACCCCAGTGCACACAAAACTGGAAGACCTGTTGAAAGCCCTGGCTCGCAACACCATGGTGGTTCCAGTCACGTACACCTCGTCGACAAGGAATTCATTGTTGCAACGACGAAGTTTGAAAGCTAGGTTTCACGTCAGATTCTTGTTTTGACTGAGATGGAGGATGCTAGAGGTATGTTGTAAATGCTCGTTTTGTAGTTTCTAACAATTCTATTTTGATCTGACAATGATGTTTTAATCAAAGTACTTATGTTTGCCATTTATTTATTTATGCAATCATAACTCCCTTATTTTACATTGTATATAGTATGGTTTGTCGTGTCGAACAAAAAGATCATACTATCGGTTCTTTATAAAATATAAACTAACTGTTCACAGTCTAGACATGCAGTGAGACCCCTGTTGGAAAAAGACTATAGGGTAGTTTTGATTCAGTTGATTGCACTAGTACTTATGTTAAGTATTGAACATGACCACAAAAGGATAAGATAAAGTTTGTTATGAAGATGGTGATGAAGTTGAATCAAAGAGAGCAAATATAGCAAACCAAAATACAGAAGTCGCAACAATGGTGAAGGAGATGCAATTGAGGATGGAGAAAATGGAAAAAAAGTTTAGAAATTGATTAATTAGAAATTGATTGATTGTTTTGCTTGTTGTACTGCTTTTGACCGTTATTGTTATGAAATAATTGTGCATTGTAATCATTTTGACAATATATGTCTTTGTTGTCAATGAAATGCTCCTACACACATATTCAACACTTGCATTCATGAACAAAAAACTCTAGCATGTCACAAGCAGCACAATGTGAGAAAAAAATAAACTACCAACAATATACAAAAGACTAGTTCAACCACTTCAAAATATAAAAATCAATACCATATCAATTCAATGACAACCAAACCAAAACATATCAATCACAACCAAAACCAAAGTGTCATCAACACCATATCACCACCAACTTAAAAATCAATACCACCATGTCACCACCAACCAAAAACACAAGATAGTCAATATTTCCATCATACAAAACAATACCACCATTTCTCAAACAGTATCTGTATCACCACTAACATTCAGATACATACCAACATAGCCAAAAGAATACCAACATAGCCAAAAGAACACACCTTCAGATGGAGTTTGAGGGCCAGTGAATCAGCCTATGTTGTGCTCTGCTGAGTGGAGGTTTGAGGGCCATTGAAGTTGACAGAATTCTCAAAAGACTACTCAGTTTGTTGCTTCAAAAACACACAAAAAAAAGAACTTAAAAACTGAAAGTAAAAAAAATAAGAACTTAAAAACTAAAAGTAAAAAAAAAAAAAAATAAGAACTTAAAAACTGAAAGTAAAAATAAGAACTTAAAAACTGAAAACTTGAAGTTGAAAAACAGAAACTCAAAGTTTTACCTGCTCAGGATTATTTGTACTAACTCTTTTGTTGCACCTTCTCTTATTACGATTATTTCCTCCACACACAGTGCATCTTTTGATAAGCTCCTTCCTGCTGCTATTTGTTGCCACTGACATCATGTCATTAGCATCAACTCTTTTTTTTTTTTTGTTGGCCTACCCCTCTTTTTCACAGCATCAGGGGCTGAATTAGGCCCATTCCAGATTCTTCATATTCATTTATACCTGGAACTGGGAAGATCATGTGGCTATACATTCTGATATACATGTCCTTCAAGAAGTCAGACACATAATCAGAAACATACAACCTATGATAAGAGATGCATGCCACTGCATGGCAACAGGGGTACCCAACCAATTGGAACATGCCACATGTGCAGTTCTTTGCTCTCAGTTGGACTATATGGATGTTTACTCCATTAACCACCTCATACTTGTCTTTTCCAGTCCAAGTAGGGAAACAATTCTGCTGAATTCTCTTTGCACTTCAATCTTCCTGACTGTTTTTGGACAAATATCCTCTGAGTACTTCTCTATTCCTGCTCTCTTCACTTGGATCCTTGCCATAATCCTTATTCTGATCCATTCAAACATGTTTATAATAGGCATGTCCCGTGCTTCCAGAATATAATTGTTGAAAGACTCAGAGATATTATTGACAATTACATCACAAACTACATTAGATTCTTCAGGGACAACTTTCAGCCATTTAAATGGAGTGACCTTGCCATCCTTCTTAGGGACAAGCCTTTGGATTTGGTTCATGCATCTCAGATGCTCCTTCACATTATATGTGATAGCTGCCTTCCAAAACCATTTTCTTAATTCTAGATCTCCCCACTTATGTTTAAAATTGTTGTACATATGCTTCAAACAATGTCTGTGTTTTGCCCCCTCAATTTCACTCACAACTTCAAGCAAACCCTTCTGTCTATCTGAAATAAAAGTCAAGTTCCTCTCTTTATATGGATCTACATCTCTCAGTAGCCTTTGAAGAAACCACCTCCAAGAATCTGTCTTCTCAACTTCAACATATGTCATTGCAATTGGTAGCATATTATCATTGTCATCTCTACCAATTGCTGAAAGTAGTTGACCACCATGAAGAGTCTTTAGAAAACATCTATCAAGCCCTATAATTGGCCTACAACCAGTCAAAAATGTTTGTCTCATTACAGTTAAGCAGACATACATCCTCATGAACTTTGGAGGTGAAAAATCATTGTTCACCTTCAGTATTAGAGAACTACCAGGGTTGTACTTGAATATTGTAGAACAGTAGTCATACTATCTCTTATATTGTTCCCCAAAGTCAACCTTCAACAGAGAAAGAGGATACACCTTGGCCCTGTATGCCTTGTGTAGACTGACATCAACCCCACAATGCCTCTTGATTTTATTTTTCAGACTTGCCAAACTCTCACTAGGATTGTCCCTCAGAGTATCTACCATCCTCTTCCCAAGATATTTGTAGTCTGTTCGTGTGTTTCTGTCATGTAAGAACATGTGTATTTTCCTTTCAAAGCCTTGATCTAAAAAGTGGAAAAACCTCCAATAATTGAGGCCCTCAAAGAGCAGTCACACCCACTTTTGCATTTTGTTGTGATGAGCTTGGCTTCATTCTTAGGAAACTTCAAATCATATACTTTTCTAATAGAACAATCTCTAATCACATCCTTGAATTTTGCTCCGCATGGAAATTTCTGACTAACTTTCATCTCAAACCTTGACATATCAATACTATCATTCCATTCATCAGGCTCTTCAAAGCAATTTTCATCATCCTCAGCCTCACCGTACCAATCTTCTTCTCTAGCCCTTTTCAAACCTTTAGCTTCTTCTCTTGCTTTTTTTTTTTCTGCTTTCTTCTTTGTTTCATCCATTCTCTTGCCCTCTTGTGTATCTTCTTAGCATGATCATGACCCATCTGTTGGAAAATGTCATCATCATCAGTGCCTTCTAGATCCTCCAATTCCCGTTCAAATAATTCAGAGGACTCACCACTACCTTCTTCATGTTTATTCTCTGAATCCTTTGGATCTCCAAAATTATGTTCTGTCCCCCCATCTTGTTGTTCTGCCCCCTCAGTTTGTTGTTCTGCCCTCTCATGAAGTTGTTCATCCTCCTGGCCATCTCCAGCTCTATCTCTACTCTAGTGCGGACTTTACTTTACTCTAGAGTAGAGTCAAACATTCATCTCCAACACTTATCTCTACATTTTACCCTACATTAAATATATTATTATTTTTATTTATTGTATTTCAAATATATTATACTATATATATTTATATTTATATATGTTTTTGTTACCCAAATAATCAAAATATGTTATGTGGTGATGTATAAAAATAAGGGAGTATTCTTTTAAAATCCCTACTCCCCTTTCTAACTTTCTTGTCAGTCCCCCTCTTTTTTTCTTTCAAATCACTACCTACCCTTCTAATATCTTTCCACTTAAATACCTCCTATTAAATAAATTCAAAAAGAAAATTTAATATTACATCATCCCACTAACAATTCAACTTTTTTTATTTTTTTTATTATTTTTCTCTCCCCACTACAAATTTTTTATTATTTTTTCTCTCCACTTCTACACATTTTTAATTATTTTTTTCTCTCTCTTTCTACACAATTTTAATTGTTTTTTAATATTTATAAAATAAAAATATGAAATAAATATGTAATATGCCCCTT